TCCGATTTGACGTATATTGAATCACAGAAACATTATTTAGTAAATGTTTGCGTCGACTTTGATCGATGCAATGATGCAAATGTGTATTTTACTACCTTTGAACCTCTAATTTCCAAATTCAAAATGGACATCCATTTTTCTTAATGCCAAATACTCCAATATATGTTGAAAATCGTAATAATAATGATTATTCAAAACCATTAAGAAAAACCTATAATTTCTAAGATCTAAATGCATAACCATCAATTTTTCTAAGACCAATAGAATAAGCTGTACTATGAACTTTGAACAAAACAGATCAATTGAATCAACAAATAATTAAAATACTCGCATAAACAAAGCTAATATACTCGCATAAATATTTAAAAAATCATTTGAAGAAATAGTTCAGTCTCTAATTACCATTTAAAACAAACCTATGTGTATATACTGTAATCGTTTCGATTCGCCAATAAGAATGATCTACTATTCAATTTATTTATGATTTATACAGATAAATAATTACTGTGCCAACGAATGTCAGCAACGATATTTCATTAAAGCTAATTCTGTAGGCAAGTTCGAAGTATTTTAATCCACTTGACGTAACGCAATTCGGAATTTCACCGAACATGTTAATTGGTACATTACGTTGTCATGGTTACTACATTTTAGAATTTTGCCTCGGCCAGGTTCCACCCACAGTCTCGTAAATTCTCGGCCCTCTAGACGGGAAAGCCTCGTCGCCTGTAATCCGCGAATGTTGTGCTCTTTACCCGCGTTTGTTCCTTAATACGGTTTAACACATTTCTAGAACTGGTCTAATCGCAGTAAGCGTTAAAATGTCCCAACGTGCAGTGATTCCACGGGGAATAAAGGAAATCCAATTTGCAGGAAGCAAATTTTCGAGCATTACATTTTTTTTTTCTGGTCAAATCAACAGTCTGGTTTCCACAAAATTAGAGTTGGGATGCATCTCGTTCATTGCACATCGCAAATGCTAATTGCGTTTCCCTTAGATTTTACACTCGAATATTTACATTTGAACTGCAGGGGAAGTTATTAAACTTGGAAATTTAAAAAATTGTGAAACTTTTTTTTAGCGCTGAATTTTACTTTGAAAGAATGCAAGTTTTTCTTTTCCGTGGATTATATTGAAAAATGTTTAAACGAACAATATATTTTTCTTTCGCGTCCAGAAAATTGCAAAATAGAAGTTTATAAACGTCAAAGAAGAATGTATTTTTAGAACAATTATGTTTTAAGCTTTACAGACAACCCAACGCAGAAGATTTCAAGTGTTAAGTTTTGTAACCAGAAATTAGGTTATAAAAGAGGAGAATTTGATATTACCAATATTAATATGGCACAGTACTTCATACTTCTACGATTCTATATAAAATAGATAATTAATCAAAATAAAATAATGAAACAGATTTCATGAAGTAGTAACATATTCCAGTTTCATCGGAGAAACATTAACTGTTAGTTGTAACGTAGAATAACACCAGAAAGTCAAGTAAAGTCAAGTAAAGTCACGTAAAGTCGAATAAAGTCGACTAAAGTTAAGTCAAGTTAAACAAGGTCCAGTAAAATCAAGTAAAAATTTGAACATTATAAATAAATACGATAAACTGCCACCACTTCTAACAGCACAACTACGAAGAACAAATTTCAAATATAAATATAATATCGTGAGCCGTATGGGAAACAGCAAATAATAAAACAAACAAATGCTTTATCAGGAAATTGATGTTCCGGCCGTCACCGCAGCAATCTGTAGATACCGTAAATTTGATCGATTCACCGCAAATTCGTCCAACAGCTCGAATGATTTTCGATATAGCGGAAAATTCACGCACGGTGATTCCATCGCGGTCACAAAGTAGTTACGGCGCCGTAAATAAAAGAAAACTGGATAATCCAATGTCAAATAAGCCTGTATAAACTATGACATGCTCTCCGATATCGGCAAGCAAAGGGAACACGCCAGACAGCTGATTGGTACCTGTATTTCACGAGTTCGGACTGCGCAGGTATTGCCTCCGCAAGATTTCAAACTGCCGGTTCAAATTGCAGATCGATTTAACAAGCGTTCTCGCTACAGTTTTTTACAGTCTAGATAGCTGCGTCGGTCTACTGAAATGGCGGACTGCATGACTGCCATATATCAATATACCGAGTAATGGGTCTGCTCGTTTTTTTAACCGAGCATCAATACGTCTCACTCCCTTAGAAAAAAGTATTTACATATGTTTTGTGCAACATTTAGAAATTTGAACCTCGAAAAGATGATTAGTTCTCATTTGAAACGGTAACATATTTTTTCTTATTTCGAATAGGGAATTTGTTGTGTACTTCGTAAGTTTGATGGTGATTAATTATTACTCTAATTTATATGTAATGTTTTGTTTTTCGAATGTTGAAGCTCGTATATGAAACTGTTTTTCGTCTTTCGAATAAAAGTGATCTGGAGATAATTGCTTCTTTTACATGTGCTTAAAGTATAATCTTTTTAGTAGATATGAGGAATTTCTTTTTAAAGAATCAACATGGAATTGACATTTAGAGGTGGTAGTATTAATATAGTTCCACGTGTTGTCAAGAACACTGGTTATTGTTAGCCAAATTATTAATTAAAAATAATTGATCAAAATTATCAATAAAAAATTATTAATTAGAAGTGATTAAAAATACACGAAACGAAATCCAAATGTGTTGACTGAAATTCTAGTAAAAATACTACACAGCTTACACTACAGTGAACTCTTCGTTGTAAGAGTATCCAATTTTTGAAATTTTCAACGAAACGCAAGAAAACATAATCATACTCACTACCAGACAAAATACTTCATAAATTTCAATATGAAACCTTGCGGAAGGTTGTCGTTTCTATTTCCCAAAATATTTGTGAACGTTCAATACCGCTATATTAATCAGTTATTCATATATGTAATGAATAATATAAGTGTATGATGAATTATTCTTCTAAACGGAAGTACCATTTGATAAAATACGAATCAGTTGTATAACCAACGCGTCCCAGAAATCGATATTCAACTACAACATTCCACACGCTTACGTATATCATCAATTAAAGCTCGAACATTGTCCAGACCTTTGAACAATAGAACGTAGGATTTCAAAGTTGTCCGTGAGAATCTGCGAAACGAAGGAAATTCCAGGGCACGTGTAATTTAGTAGCTAAATTTCTCTGGGTCTGTGGAAAACGGAGGCAAATCCATCTTGAAACATAACTTCGTAAACTATTCTACATGCTGATACCTGTCCACCAAGTATCAAGGCGACATGACTGAATATTAAATCACTGGAATCTTCACGCAAACTTGAATCCGCTTATGCCAAGACAGGCGAACAACGTTACAAAGGATCCGACGAAAGAGAAATGGCTGCGAATGAAAGAGAATTCGTACGTGTTTCTGACCAAAGGATTAATGTGTACCGAACAAATATCTCGCACGTGAAAAACTTTTCGAGAAAATATATTAACGAATACTAATAATAATATATTATACTAGACAGTTGTAAAGTATATAATAAATGAATAAATATTAAATATTGTTAATGTATATTTATGTAAAAACGCAGCATATTTGCATAGAATGGGTTACATAATAAATAATTATAACAGAGATAATTCTAGCGTTTTGAATAGTAATACTCATTCTTTAATAACACAGGCAAATGATATTGAAAATAATTATTAATGATTTAGTGTTACAATAATCATATTACGCTATAATCTAGCTACTTATGTTGCTAAATATTTTTATATAAGATCAAGTTTTTTATTGTAATTGTTCTTCAGCAATTTGGAAGCTCCGGTCATCGGTGACCACCGTGGCATTCAAAGTGTTAATAAATAACAACTAATAATTAATAATTGATATCTATTAAATAATAAATAATAATTTAATTTTATTAAATACACAAAACGCAAAAGTAACACTAACCGCGAGACACTGTAAACAAACAAGCTATATTATGAACATAACACAATAACAAAATCATGCTCTCAACGAAGTACACAAGTTTATCAGCGCACGAATGAGAAAAATACAATTGGCATTGTATTCCTCGCACATTCAACTATCTCGCGGAGCAAAAATTATAAATACAGCTCTGGTAAAATTTTTGAACTTGACTTTTGGCTGCCTAAAACGGCCGAATCGGCCACTGCGCGTCGCTTGCATTACTCGGGCATAAACTATCCCAGTATAAACGATCGCGGTACATAACCTAAATTAGCAGGTACGATTTCTGTAACATACGTCCACGCAGATATTTTCTTATCAAACGTTCTATGCCCAGTTGCAGAGTAAATATTAATTCAGGGCTTCCGCGAATATGTAGGTAGCTGACGCTTGATATTCGTACGAATTGGTATTAATTAATGTTTACATAGTATAGGTTAAAATAATTGGAATATATTAAACGGTTATTGTGTTTTCCCGGTGAAATTTATCTCGGCTAATTCTTCACTTCCCTCTGTCTAATGCGTAACGATACATCGGCAGCGATACCTGCACACGAAATGTTTGTAAATCTCCTACGTACATTTGCGAATCGTTAATTATATATAATTTTAAGCAGCAACGTTGATCTAGGTAAACAAAAAATATCGTATCTCCGAGAAATATTATTAGTCAATAACGATATCAATAAATAATGTTCCTCGGAAGTTTCATTTGAATATTCCTGAACGAACGAAGTTATAGTCATGAATAATTGAATTTATAAATATTACCGAATTGTCAGATGATTCGATATAATTCTTTTATGTCGTGCAAAAGTTTCAACTCGAATTACCTGTTAAATGGAAATATTAGCATTTTATGAGTGCACAGAGTGTCGCAGAAATTAATAATAATGGGGTCATTAATCAAATTTCTAGTATATAATTTATGTTGTTTGTGTGTATATTTGTATGTATATTGATATGTTATTTATATATGAAAGTAAAATACAGGTATAATGATTGAAAATAATATTTGTTATAGATACGCTTATCGATCTACGTGTTCATCGCGGACGGAAATCAAGGGCGATAGAGTCAGATTGAATGCGCAGCGTTGAACGCAGCCAAACAGGCGAGAACGAATGACAATACCATGAAAAAGCAATTAACGGGTACTACACAGCTGAAGAAGCAGGTAAGTGATATGAGTCGGAAAATTTGTCCTACCAATTCAACTGGTATTTAAAATTCTAAGTAATCTCTCTTCGAAATGATGCTTTCTTATATCAGTGCTAATCATGTTAAACAGTAATCAATTCTTCTTTCAAAGGATGGTCAACTTCTGACGTATTGAATTTCCAAAAATGTCTATAAAATTTGCAGTATATAACTGTTTCAAAACAATTCGCTTTTTGCATTATGTAAGAAGTTCAAACGTCATTTTCACACATACAGTCACTCTATTTAACACGTTGACTGCCACGAGAATTTCTAGCGTTTTATGTAATAATACTTTTTAATAACGGAAAATGGTATTGGGAATAATTATTAATGATTTGATATCACAGTAGTCATATCACACTGTTATCTAGCTACTTATGTTATTAAATATTTTTATTTAACATCAAACTGTTCTTCAGCAATTTGAAAGCTCCGGTCATCGGTGACCATCGTGGCAGTCAACGTGTTAACCCTAATCATACCACCATGTGACTCGCAGTCACTTATGAGAATAAAAGGAATGATTAAAATGTTATTGTGTTTGTTTATAGGGCCGTAATTTTAAAATCCCAAAAAAACTTCTTCAAGTGCAGTATGAAATAATCAAAAAATTTAAGTAAAAAGTTCAAATGTGACTCAAAGTCACATCGTGGTCCGATCAGGGTTAAGAAAGCAGCGTGAATTATTCTCGTAGAAAGTTTCTCTTAACTGGTCCACTATTGGTGCTTTTACCTTACATATTGGAAAAACGTATCGACTACTTCGTGATATCCGTGGACAAGTGGTGTTCGAGCTGTTTGTAACTTAATTTGAAAGTTAATCTCTGGACATCGCCTTTTAGCGCGTTACGTGAGCTCCTCTGTCCCTCGGCTCTCTAACTTAATAATGTTTAACGCATCATAAACTTCAAAACGCCACGCAGCAGTTAGCGGGCTAGTTCAGTTTACGTATCTTTGACTTGACTTTTGAGAACTATCCCACAGCGGATTTCAGCTTCGCGTGCAATGCAGTGGACGATGATGTCAATCGACTGTCCACAATTTCGAATTTGTTCCAAACTCGTGGATATATTCAGTAGACTCCTGTCAGGGTGTGGTCGAGCTCTGATTATTTGCACTACATGTAGGTGCCGTCTATGATGCTGTTGCGAAGGACCACCCAAAGATTGCAAACGGCTTTGGGACCGTAACAATTGCAGGACACGTGACGTGGAGTAACACTATTTATCGATTAAGTTGTGATTGCACAGAATTTGTGTGAGCTTGCGAACGCGTGTGTGTGCTTGTGTAAAGGAAACTAAACTCTGTTATGCTTTGCTAGTGTCGAACTCTATTCTTTCTCTACTGAGCAAAATTGTCTATGTTATCTCTATGCTGTCTGCTTCTCTTTCTCTCTTAGCTGTGTTCTCTTTGTGATATCTGTTTCCAAACTCTGTTCTATCTGTCGCTAAAAACTTGTACCCAAAGATCTCCTCCATTTCCTCGTTTTCGCCCTTCCATTGCGCCCTTGGCGTGTTGCTTTTGAAAAAACCCAAACTTGTTGACGTTGATTTTTTCTACATCATCCTTTGAGTCCTCGACGTTTACGACATGGTCTGCACTACCGAACCCTAAATCGTTTTGGTCGAGCGAACTATAATTGAAGATCAAGAAAAGGAAAAAACTACGTTTGTCACGTACCGTCTACTGCTGGTGCACAGATGGCACGGGCACTCAAATAAAGGTTCAAAGGTAGCTGCCTGCCTGTTCCACGTCGTAAACCTCGTCAAGCTAACTCTAACTCCCTTATAACGCGAATCCGGAGATTCCGCGACCACTATTTTCATACAACACGAGATGTAAAAATATGCAGGAACTTCTCGAATTTCAAAATGAGGCAAAGTCGTTTTGAGCATTAATGTGTTTCTATTCCTTTATTTCCCCCAAAAAACAGAAAATAAGAGTTGGCGTGGTAATGATTCTTCTGAACATGTTACTTTTCATTATTCACGTTATACAAGAAAATTTTTGCTGCATAATAATGTGTCAGGCTCGCAGTGAAGATTTTAAACAGAATTTAATAAGCATCGATATTACTCAATTTTTTAAACACGTTCAATCAAATCACTATAATTCGCTCGATTAAACGGTGACTGAAGACATTTCTATATTATAAATAATGTTACCTAGTGCAGTGATATTCTAGACAAAGTGCAGTAACAATAATGAAATTCAATTAATAATTCAATATTATATCTTTTTCATTTCGTGTATTTGCATTGAATACAAATAAATATTATTCTTCTGCTATCGATTTATACTTCACAGCAAACATAGGCATAGAATGTCTAGAATTCTTCTAACAATACATAATTAACGACAAAGTAGTTGCATTGATCACAGTTGAGAAATAAATCATGAGGTAAAGGGTTGATATTTAACCCTTTACGTGTGTGGGCGCATATATGCGTTCGATCTTTTTAATTTCACATTATCGATACCGATAATAATGATAGTAATAATAGTTATTACGAATGTACACCGTGCTTCGCGTGATAGGGCGCAACACCGTCCACGCGAAATATTTTGACTGACAGTATCCAGCACTCAAAGTTAACGCGTTGACTGCCACGAAAAACATCAGCGTCTTATGTGTTACTTATCATTTCTATAGCAAAGATACAAAGCAAGAAATATTAATTCTTTAATATGAAAATCCTTATATCACCCTATTATCTAGTTATTCGAAATTGTATTCGAAATCAATCATCTTCCAAGTCATGATTATTTTCTCGTAATTTGAAAGTCACCGGTGACCGTCGTGGCACTGAAACTGATAAATGAAAATAAAAAGAAAAACATTGTGCGACAATATATTCGTGTTTAATCGTTATACAATCTTCCCATTCTAACAAACACATAAATACGCTGCACGTCGCGCATGGTAACACGTTTTAATTAAATTTTCGCTTTTTAGCTGTTATGTTACCACAGACCGCACGATCAAAGTTTCCAATTTAACACAGCATATAATCCGCTAAGCGCAACCTCCGTCTCCGCGTTCTGACTCCGTACTTCGAGACCAACCACTGTACAATTAACAACCGCAAATTGGTAAGCTAGTCGTATCCGCGACGACGTAATCATCAACCGCATCTAATACCGGAGAAGGTAGCGCTGATTCGAATGGGACATAGAGTGACTGTCCGTTCAACAAGATTATGGGAAACTTCAAGCTGATTTGGTATTGTTCGAGCCGTTTCGTCTGTCAGCAACGAGTAAGCTTGTACTTCTGCGGCGCGATATGGTCTTGCAAATTACAGTTGATACAGGGAAACATAGTTCTGCTACCACGCATTAACGATATACGCGTAAATGGACCGCGTGCATCAGAACTCGGTCTCCCGTGGATAAGAATGTTAATCTGCTGCAACCGTACTCGCCGTCTAACGCGTTATCGCAACTTTAATTGTTTTAATGGGAACATTAAGAATTGTAGAGTAACGGTGTTATTTATTATGAACGTTTATGTGGGGATTCAATATCTAAAACGTATAAAAAATATATAATGTTAAGTGATTTTATATATGTACACATGATGTGAATATCATTAACGCGTTGAATGACACGGGGATCACCGGTAACCTCAACCAAATCGAATTACTATGATTCATTCGATCAAACGGTGATTATTTGAAAACTTTTCTATATTATAAGTAATACAACTTAATGCACTGACATTCAACAATTCACACCTGTCATGTGTTAAATCAAATATTAATTGCATATTAAATCATATGCAGTTATTGAAATAATTGCTCTTGCAAGAACTAATATCTTTCGTGTGAGACATTTTTCATATTACTAAATAACTTCTTTGTATATCCATTGTTTCAATTATTTTACTTGTTTTCTATTATTAAGAAATTTCTTGTGGCAAATTCGTTTTAAAAAGGTAAATTTGGTGGTCAATGTTACATATTTCTTTTAGGGTTTTTGAGACTTTGATATTGTCATTATTCTTTTTAACATCAGGCTAAGCAATCCTCAAATGACTGAGTTATAACAAATTAATACAAGGGATAATCAGATAAGAATCAGATTGCTGATTCGTTGCTGATCTCCTCAAAGATAACATCAGTGGCGGTTCTAAATTTTTGATGGCATATCAGTTTAGTAAAATAACAAATATCCATGTTGATCAGAATTTACTGGATGTACACCATGGATATAGATCTTCCATAATATGTATTAAGTGACGTGTAATAACTAGATAAGAATCAGATTACTGATTCGCTGCTGATCTCCTCAAAGATAACATCAATGGCGGCTCTAACTTTTTGATCGCATATCGGTTTAGTAAAATATTAAATATCCATGTTGATCAGAATTTACTGGATGTACACCATGGATATAGATCTTCCATAATATGTATTAAGTGACGTGTTGGAGCGTATACACACACACATATGCCCTTTAACAGTCAAAGGGTTAATACGTATAAGACACCTCCCATGGTTAGGACAGCTCTAGATTGCCAGATGTAATCAAATGCCCACTTAGCAATGGTACATAGCCAGACAAATTACCATCGATTCAACTGGTATTATCTGCCGTTGGACGGATGATACTTATTGATGACAAGCTATTTGTTCTTTTGTGCTTAAGACGGAACGGTATTAATCTCTGTCAAGGATTAACTATATTCGTTTTAAATTAATCTGGAACCAAATATAGTATAGCATTTGTAGAAAATATGATGAAACTGAATTCTGAATAAAATTAATATTGCTCCTCAGAATGTAATCGTTATATTTTTTCGTGTGCAATTACAGCCATGATGATAGGAAACCTATTTTGTACACAATTTAAATGATATCATAGGTTGAACAAAAGAGAAGAACAAATGTCTTAAAATAGTATTTCTTCGGTTATTTATAAAATCATTGAGTTCTTTTTAGATAACGATGATATTTTTGTGTACTATATA